GGCGCTCTGCGGACTCCAGCGCTCGCCGTTCAAATCTGGCTAGACTTTTGACGCAACTTTTGGTACCACGGCCATCGGTAGACCCTCCCCTACAATTCTAGACCAATGCGGGGTCTATGCGATAAATATTGAGGCGGCTAGATGTCGCAACGTGCGGCAAGGCGGCATCGGCGGGGCAGAGAGCTTCCTGTCCCCTCTCTGTAGTCTCTTGCTGGAGCAGCTGCTCAAGCACGTCGCTACCCCCGGCCCGCGCCCGTTACCGCTCGCTACCCCGCGCAGCATCTCGCGCGCAACAAGTGCGTGGGCGGCGCGCAGGTCAGGGTGCGGGCGCGGGCGCGGCGCCCAGCACCTGCGCGAGGAGGTCGCCGCTGACGCCGCTCCCCTCTGACTAACCATTTCTATGTCGTCCCCGTCCCGCAGACATACGCTGCGCGCGCAAGGAGCGGAGCCGCACGTCGCAGATCGCCGAGCACGCCGAGGACGGCGTCGAGTTCCTCCGCAAACGGCAGGAGTTCTGGCGGCAGCAGAAGCTGAGCTCCGGGCCCGGTGGGGTGCCCGCCGGCGGTGGAGGCAGCGGTGGTCGACGGCGAGGTACAGAGCGGGGCGTCGCGGTCGGCGGCGCCGGCACCAGCAGCACGACGAGCAGCGCGAGGAGCAGCGCGCGGGGCCACGCGGGTCGCCCGCAGGCAGTAGCCTAGGGCACTGCCAAAACCACGGACAATTTAATTAATTCATTTAATATGCCCACAGGGAAAGAGACTGTCTCTGTTAAGGCCACACAAAGCTCTCCCTGCTTTTGGTACAGCTCAAAGTATAAACTGGGCTATCGGGCGTTCGTCAATATCAACACTTACGTTAGTGTTGAGTTTAGTATACATCAGAATTTCTTTTAAAAAACATGCCGTCGTGCGACATTGTTTACAAGGGCAGGACGGTAGCGCCTGCGGGACACAAACTAGGCAACCAGCCTGCCTGTAGCGCGCGGTGTTGCCTACTCTGCTCTCTGCAGGAGACCGAGCGTGGGTCGGAGCCGTAAGCTGACCTGCCGCGTTTCGGAACTTGTTTTTTCTTCTTTCGGCTTCACTTTCAAAAGTACTCGTTCTTATGTACTATAGAAAAATGATTGTCTTATTGTAGGCAGACGACACATATCTCGTTTAGACCACGACTCACCACGACTTCTTTGCTTGCCCTCGCAATTTCCTTAAAACGCTGAGAACGAGACCGAAATGGAAACAAACCATATTACCAGAACCCTGTTGTACCAGGGTGATTCAGACAAGTCCCAGGTGCGTGCGGGTGTGCTACCTAAGGGGCCGTACCCAAACCACGTGACGCATTTTGGGGGAAGGGGTGGGGTCTGTAAAAACACCACTCACCACCATCAGGGGGGACGGGAGTGTTTCGGCCAAGTCACGTGACTATTAATTACCTGCTCTAATAAGCAAGTTTTTGAAAAAAAAATAACACAAATTCGTTTATTGCGTGATGAATCACTGAAATCTGATGGTGTTTAATCGAAAAGTCACCACTAAATTTAGTTTTGAATACCAGCAAACATGCACTTTTTGCTAAAATGCTCTATAAAGTACCGTAAGTACATCAAATAATGCATATGCTGAAAACCACGTGAAAATGTAGGGGGGGGGGGGCGATACCACCACACACCACCATAGGGGAGAGGGGGGATGGTCAAAACCCGCCCAAAACTCGTCACGTGGTTTGGGTACGGCCCCTAAGGGGCCATGGCGCCTTACGGGCAGAGCGAGTAGGCAAACCCGCCCGCACTCGTTCTTCTCTGAATCACCCGGTATAATATCAGATGCGATAGAGAACTTATTGTTGTGCGATTATTTTAACAAATAAAACAACAGCCACAAATCTGTTTCCTCATTTTCTCCCAAAGCCTGATTTTGTGGGTGACGTAAAGCAACCATCCTCTCGTACTTACACTTGCGGACACCATGTCGGCTGGAACTGCACCGGGGCACGAGGTACTCCATGTCGGTGAAATCGACTCCCGCGGAGGCCCCAGAGCGACACTCTTCAGCGGGTCGTCCTCGCGGCGGAAGTCCTCCACGGCGGAGGGGGAGGGGGCTCAAATCAGTACTCCCCCCCCCCCTAGTTCTTACGTTTTCGCGAGCGAGAATTTTTTTTAAAACAAAAATCAAACTTTAATTCAAATTTTTAAAAGAAGCGCAAGCTCCAATATGCAGCAGCGCTCAAGTTAAAAAACATACAAGCGAGCGAAGCGGGCGAAAATCTGTAGCTGAATATTTGTCTCTCCCACCGGTAAAAAGGGTATATCGAACGTTACATTTTGTTATTAATGACTTTGAAACTGTGTGCTTTCTAGAGAGAAATTCAACCCATGCGATTTCACGCATTTTAACAATTTTACGCTTACTCTGCGCCATTTACCCATGCAGACTTTCCAAGACTTTCTTCGACCATAGTCCTTTATCTGATAGTTTCCATGACTCCTATGATTTTAAAACTTAAATCTTGGTGCGCATGCATCGATAGCATTAGTGCGTCAGTGTTCTTCATTTCGTTTTACTACTTCGCAGCCGGTGCTTAGCCCAAAATATGGCTCCCCCCCCTAAACCCCACTTACGACGCCACTGGCGGCCCGTACCTCGGGCACCAGGCCGGGGACCAGGCCCAGAGCGCCTCGAGGACAAAGACGGCTACGCTCGCAGCCTGGCCAAAGCTCAGCACGACGAAGGCCGGCCCCAGTTGCCAAAACGACAGCGCCCGCGGCCCCTGCAGTGACACCAGCCTCCTCGCGTGGCGCTGGCGCTCCCGCTCGTACTCCTCGCTGCGCCAGCGCGCGCGCAGCCCCGCCGCCTCCGAGCGCGCCAGCACCCTGGAGATGGGCCGCTCCAACGGCGACCCTCTCGGCGCCATCGCGATGATGCCCCGGTCGGAGTATCCCAGGGGGAAGTAGTGCAGCCTCTTGGGCGTCAGCATATAGGGCGTCATGGCGGTCCGAACGTGGCGGTCCAGGAAGGCAACGAGCGCGCAGTTACGCGCGCTGGCGACCGTGTCGATGAACGACTTGATGTCCGAGTACCCCACGTACGGATTGGTCCGCGCGTTAGGCAGTAGAGGAAGGATGCTCGACAAGCGGATGCTCAAGAAAGGCTGAATGTGCACGGTCAGCCCGCTGTTCTTGAGGTCACGCAGGCTGTCTAGGTCGCGACGAGGGACAGCCGAGGACAGCTCGCCCAGCAGCAGGCCCTGGTAGGCGGCGGTCAGCACAACACAGACGAGCAGCCAGGCGGCCAGCATGGGCCTGGGCGGGGTGGGTGGTGGTGGCGCCTGCCCAACCATTGGGGCCAGCGCCTGCAGCAGCGCGCCGCTCACGCCCTGCCGCCGTGCGCACGCGAATACCACCACCGTGCACAACATGGCCAGCCCCGTGGCGCACCACAGCCCCGCGGAGAACTCGACCGTGACCGCGGCGAGGACGTTCACGCCGGGGCCAAGGCCCGCGGGCACGATGACGACGACGCGGGTCACCTCCGCGTCGAACACGTGCATCAGATCAAAAGCTATGGTCGGTGCGAACACGGGCATGTCTGTCAGGAGCGCGTCCTGTCTGCATCCCCTCAACCCCAACATGACACTCACGATATCATTCTCCTCCTGATACGTCACGTTGAGCACGGGACGTGAGCGTTGCTGTTGGCCCTGGCCGACCGAGCGCTGGACGCTCTTCGCCAGCTCCATAAGCGACGACTTGTAAGAGAAGCCACTCGCCGTCATGAGGGACACGTTGAGAGCGCGGCCGCCGCCTCTCATCTGCCAGTCCCAGCTGCAGAACTCGGTGAACACGGCGGCCCTCTGGCTCCAGCGCTGCTCGACCGCCGACCAACGGTCCATTTCGATGACAGTGATTGCCCCGTGTTTGCAGCTGTCATTAGAGGTACACGTCAGTTTGTAAAGGACGGTGCTGCCGTCTGGGGCGGTGAGGGCCAAAGCGAGCTGGCTCATGCCCAGCCACATCTTCGTGTGGGAGACGACGCGCAGAACGTCGTCTCGAGCTCGAAGCGACGTCACCGAGGTCCAGAGGATCGTGCGGATTACTTGTTTACTGAATCTGGCGTAGATTTTAATTATGTAGACCAGCTCATCCGGCCTTCCTGTGGTTGCTAACTGAGCGAGCCGTACGTAGCGTTGTTGAGAGAGCTCACTCGCCATCCTGAGGTTCGTGCACCACCCTTGAGCACTTGCACATCCGGGGCCTAACTTTACCACTCGCGGGATGTCCGCGTCGAGCTGGCGGAGGAAGGCGTTCGTCCAACGCGTCTGATTCAGCACGATGAGGGTGGCCTTCTGGGCTTGCAGGAACGGCGCGAGCAGCGCCGCGGCGCTCGCGGCCTCGGGGTCGACGGGCAAGTGCACGACGGGCGGGTCGGCGCGCACCCCGGGCGCTGCGAATCCGAGGAGCAACATGAGCAGAGCGACCCCCATGGTAGCGGGCGCGGATTTCCAGTCCGCCCCCCTGCTCTACCCGCCTTCAAATAGAGCCCAGCGCGGCAGCTGGTCGCCAGTCGCCCTCCTCTGCTCTTCGATTTGTCGTTTCAAAGGCATGTGATGTAGCGTATATAAAGAAGGAAAAGTGGCCTCTATGGGGAATGTGCTTCCTTTTTCACTTGCCGCTCGACACATTTTGCTGCGTCTGTGTGCCGCCTGACAGAGTTCGTCGTTTCGTTTTATTGATTAGATTCGCACAATAATAAGAAAATCGTTCCTTTGAATTGTGTGTCTGGAAAGTTTTGTGTGCCGCATATTCGGGACCACGTTTTCTCCAGTGGTGATGTGTACAGGGTGGCCGCTCTACCCCGTAGTTTTGAAAAGATAGTCTAGCTCGCCCGCACACGTGTAGAGATGTGCGAACAGAGCCTTGGTTCGAATTATTACGAACACTAACAGAAATTTTGAAAAACAATTCGAACCGAACGCGTTGCTCATGTTTTATTTAGTCCGATACAGTCTCGTGTGAGGCGTGCCTTCACGGTTCACGGTGTGGCTACCTCTCTGAGATTGGCTGCCTCAGAGGTTTTGAGGACGGTGATTGGCTGAAATCCTCTTAGGCCTCACTGTGAGGGCACGACGGGTCACACGAGACTAAATCCACCATCAGTCGAGCTGGCCCAGCCCCGTGCGGCGTGGTAGCTTGAGTTCGGCCCTGTAGCGCCACTCTTACGTGTCTGCCCATGATGCCGAAGGTAGGGTCTTAAGTAGATAGTCGCTAGTCGCTAACTAGATAGAGACAAGCAGCCCCAGAACAAAGACTGCTGCGCCGAGAATGTGGCCGCCTAAGAGGCACAGGAACGCTGGATACATCTGCCGCAAGGTCAGCGGCCGCGCCGGCGACAGGGCAGCCATGGTCTTCTCCCGCGTCAGTCGCTCCGCGAAGTCCGCCAGGGCGTTGAAACGCTGCGACAACCCCCCTTCAAGCGACCCCCGAAGGGTCGCGGCAATGGCCTGGCCGAGTGGCGAGCCACGGCTCCACAGGCCATTGATTCTTAAAAACGAAGCGCCTGTCGTGAAAAAGTGCAAGGACTTCGTAGTTGTCAGCCAAGAACGGATACCTCGAGCCACACCGTCATCCATTTCAACAATGAGAGCACAGTTTCGGTCAACCACAACGCGATTGACGATGAAGTCGATGGGGTTTACGAAGCGATGAACAACCAGCTTTCTGCGAACATTTTCCGGCAGGACCCCGTCGAGCTGATTGAAAACAGCCCACGAAACGTGCACGGGCAGCCCGCTGTCCCCCAGGTCCTGCAGGCTGTTGATCTCCCCGTGAGGCTGCGCCGTAGACAGCTTGCCCAGCAGCAGCCCCTGGTAGGCGGCCACCAGCACGACGCACACGAGCAGCCACACGCCGAGCAGCGGCCGCAGCGCGTTGCCCGCGGGCGGGGGCGTCCCCGGGGCCTGGCCTAGCAGTGGGGCCAGTGC